TTATTATTATTATTATTATTTTGAGACGGAATCTTGCTCTGTCGCGAGGCTGCAGTGCAGTGACGTGATCTTGGCTCACTGCAACCTCTGCCTCTGGGGTTCAAGCAATTCTCCTGCCTCAGCCTCCCAAGTAGCTGGGACTACAGGCGCCCGTCACCACACCCAGCTAATTTTTGTATTTTTAGTAGAGACTAAACAACTTTTTTTTTATCTTGTTCCCTTTGTGTGTATTTTATTTCACCATGTTGGCCAGGATGGTCTCGATCTCTTGACCTCATGATCTGCCCACCTTAGCCTCCCAAAGTGCTGGGATTACAGGCATGAGCCACCGTGCCAGGCCTCATGTTAGCTTTTATAAACAGAAAGTAGACTGTGAATCCTCTGGGAAAGTTGTAGTGTAGATAGAGACCTGTCTGGAAAGCTTACCTGCAGCTTTGTTTGAAGGTAAGAAAATAGACTACATAAGTTATGCGTTATTTTTAAAATTTTGTTACACTGTTTTCACAGTAAAATATTTAATACAAAAAGAAATGTTAATGGAAAAACATGTCAGTAATTTCACCAAACAACTTTTTTTCTTTTTTTGAGACAGATTCTCACTCTGTCGCCCAGGCCAGAGTGCAGTGACGCCATCTTAGCTCACTGCAACCACCTCCTGGGTTTAAGCGATTCTCCTGCCTCAGCCTTCCGAGTAGCTGGGACTACAGGCGCGTGCCACCACGTCTGGCTCATTTTCTTTTTTCTTTCCTTTTTTTTTTTTTTTGAGATGGAGTCTTTGCTCTGTCGCCCAGGCTGGAGTGCAGTGGCATGATCTCAGCTCACTGCAAGCTCTGCCTCTGGGGTTCACACCATTCTCCTCCCTCAGCCTCCCAAGTAGCTGGGATTACAGGCGCCCGCCACCACACCCAGCTAATTTTTTTGTATTTTTTAGTAGAGATGGAGTTTCACTGTGTTAGCCAGGATGGTCTTGATCTGCTGACCTCATGATCCACCCACCTTGGCCTCCCAAAGTGCTGGGATTACAGGTGTGAGCCACCGTGCCCGGCCTAAAAAATTTTTTTTTTTTCCTGTTCCTTTTGTCTGTGTGTGTCTCTAGATAAATAATGTTATATTACAGTTTTTTTTTTTTTTTTTTTTTGAGTCAGAGTCTCTCTCTGTTGCCAAGGCTGGAGTACAGTGGCATGATCTCAACTCACTGCAACCTCCGCCTCCCAGGTTCAAGTGATTCTCCTGCCTCAGTCTCCTGAATAGCTGGGACTACAGGCATGTGCCACCACGCCTGGCTAATTTTTGTATTTTTAGCAGAGATGGGTTTTCACCTCATTGTCCAGGCTGGTCTCGAACTCCTGACCTCAGATGATCCACCTGCCTCGGCCTCCCAAAGTGCTGGGATTACAGGTGTGAGCTACCACGCCTGGCCTGTAGTTGTTTCATAATATTCAATTATGGTATGGAATTTATCTTACGTTTACACATTATATATTTTTTAAAAAGAAGAGAAGCCTATTTGATGATATTTTTTCCTTTTTGCATTTTTTTCCTCTGAAATTCTTCAGGACACATATTGAAGGAAACGTGGATATTGGAGATTTGACCTGGGAGCAGAAGGAAAAAGTCTTGCGATTGCTCTTTGCAAAAATGAATGGCTGTCCTTCTAGGTAACTCCCAATTTCTGCATTGAAATACCAAGTTGTTATCAAATCTAGAAACCACATAGGAATAATGAACTTATTTTTCTTACTTAGAACTAAGAGAGATGGACAAGGAGCCAGAGAGAAAGTCATAAAAGGCGCCTTGTGAGCTGCTTAACTAACTGCATGCTGCCCAGAGATAAAGACAGCGTGCTGGGGGGGGGAGGTGGAGATGAGGGGGAATGAGCGATGAAAGATGAAAGGATGAGATTGGGAGTGTGACGGGAGGGAGAGATTCATCTTAGATGTTTAGAGGTGTAGGTGCGTTACTAGAAGGGTTGACGAATATTGCTCAGGGCTGAATGCGAGAGATGGCAAGCTGGAGATGAACACGGATAACAGGTATTAAGATTTTGATTGTTTGCAGAGAAGATAAGTAAATTTCTTTTTTTTGTTTTGTTTTGGGATGGGGGGGGCCGGGGGTGCTGGATGTGCTGTTCGACCGTGAGCCAGATGTGGGGCAGTGCACAATCGACAGCTTCCTGTTACCTGCCACTTCCCAGGCACAAGGGTCGATCGGTCGCCACCTGGTCGAAGGGGTCATAGGGCTGAGTAGGCTGACGGGACTGACAGGACATGTGCCAGATGTGCTGGGGCTAATTTCTTTTTTTTTTTTTTTTGTTGAGAGAGCAGTGAGTCGTCAGTTTTGGTCACCCAGGCCTGGGAGTGGCGCAGTGGGGGCGAATCTCGAGCTCACGTGCAAGGCACTGCCCCTGGCCATCCTGGGTTAAGTGATTCCGTGGCCTCAGCTCTCGGAGGTAGCTGGGATTACAGGTGCACCGCCATGGCCTGGCTAATTTTGTATTTTTGTGGTAGGAGAGCGGTGCGCGAGGTGGTAGCCCAGGGTGGCGCGTAGGTCGTCGGAGAGCTGCGGCTGAGGCGGGCGTGGTGGAGGCGGGCGCGCCGCGTGAGCGCTGCGCTAAGAGCTTGCTGAGATTACAGGCACTCAGCCACTGTGCCCAGCCCTAATTTTGTATTTTTAGTAAAGACAGGGTTTCACCATGTTGGCCAGGCTGGTCTCAAACTTCTGACCTCAGGTGATCCACTCACATCGGCTTCCCAAAGTGCTGGGATTACAGGCATGAGCCACTGCACCTGGCCAGTTGTACATTTTAAAATAACTAAAAGAGTATAATTGGATTGTAACACAAAGGATAAATACTTGAAGGGATGGATACTTCATTCTCTATGATGTGATTATTTCACATTGCATGCCTGTATCAAAACATCTCACGTACCCCACAAATACATATACCTACTATCACCCACAAAAATACAAAATAAAAAAAAATTAAAATATGAAAAAAAATATGAAGGCATGAGGAGACACTGCCTCATTCATTATCTTTGTTGACTTTCACCTACCACAGGAAATACAACCAGAGTTCTAAGCCTCCAGTTCCAGACTATGTTGTTTCTGACAGTGGGGAAACAAAGGAATTTGGGTAAGAGCTCTCTAGTTGCTAAAGTAATAAACATGAGCCCAACATGATGGTTCTTGTGGGCATCTTGAATGTGCTAATTGAAAGTTAATATAACAAGTCTGTTATTCTAAACCAGGTTTTCTGTGTGTACAGTTGTTGATGGCTCTGTTATTTTGTCATTATTACAGGGATGAAAGTAAGCTTCAAGATAAAATCTTCATCACCCAGCAAATTCCAATATCAGACTCTTCTGGTAAAGTGGTGCTACCCACTATTCCAAAAGGACCTCAAGAGTCTGACACAGTAAGGAATCTCTCTTATCAAACAATACATATTGTTGTCACCCTTCCCCATGTTGCTTCTTGCTAAATCAGTTATTTTCTCTACTAGTTAAGAGACTTCAGGGATCAGTGGAATGAGTAATAAATAGCATTAGCAGATTACATAAATTTTTAAATCAATATCCATACAAATGCATACTATACTAATGCAAATGCAAATGTGTGCCTCTGTTTGTGTGGAAACCTATAGGTTGCCTTTTGAAGTAAGCAGCCTAGCCACAATGTGTACTATCTTTTATGTAAGAGTAAACATAGTGACCTTGTAACTCTTGGCTTTCCATCACAGGTGGGAAGTCAGAGTCATTACAACCTAGAGGACAAAGGCTTATAAGGAAATATGAAATGATTTTTTTAAGCCAAGTTTTTCTCTTTAAGAGTTTTTTATTTATAATTTGTTATTCATAATCAATTAGTACAATGTAGAATCTGAGAAATTTCAAATGAAGCCACATTAGAGTAAAAAAAAAAAAAAAAAGAAAATACTGACTTTTTAGCTGCGATCACATGAATATAACTGATGAGTTTTTTTCATATAAGAAATAAGAAACTCTGAACAGCACAATTCTGATTAGTGTGTTTTTTAGAAGTGATTTCCCTTAAATATAAGGAAAATGTTAGGAGTCTCTGTGACTACATTTAATTCCACTTGGAATATAGACAATAATGACCTTTTATTTAACCCAGCCTATAGTTGTTGGATTGGATTAAATATCACTACCAGGGCCGGGAGTAGTGGCTCACACCTATAATCTCAGCCCTTTGGGAGGCCGAGGCGGGCGGATCATGAGGCCAGGAGATTGAGAACCCAGGAGGCGGAGGTTGCAGTGAGCTGAGATCATCCCACTCCACTCCACCCTGGGCAACAGAGTGAGACTCCATCTCAAAACAAAACAAAACAAAACAACAACAACAACAAAAAATCACTACCAGTTGCCAGCTGTGATAAGAGCTAAAACAACGGGCACTGTAGTCTCAAATTATAAATTTCTATTGCCTCATCTTTAGGAAAGCACCAAAAAAAAAAAAAAAAAAAAAAAAGGCCCAATAGGGTCATAAGTGTATTTTACAAAAGTTCCAGTCACCTTAAGTGATTGAAGGTTTTGACATTCTATCCAGCCAGGTGGTAGTAATAAGCCTCAGATCCACAGGGTACACAACATTTTCAAGGTATTTTTTTTTTTTATCATCCTTAATTCATGAATAACCCCCATAGTGTAGGTTAGTTAGCACTATCAAAGTGACTAGTAAGGACGCAGGAAAATAAAGAGAGGACTCAATTGGGATGGTACTGCAAAAAGAATCCATTCTGTTCGGCACATGAATTTCTGTTCTGATCTTAAGTTTAGATACATCAAAGAAACAAAAAGCATAAAGGCAGCTGGGGGTGGTGGCACACACCTGTAATCCCAGCACTTTGGGAGGCCACGGCAGGTGGATCACCTGAGGTCGGGAGTTCAAGACCAGCCTGACCAACATGGAGAAACCCCGTCTCTACTAAAAATACAAAAACATTAGCCAGGTGTGGTGGCGTATGCCTGAAATCCCAGCTACTTGGGAGGCTGAGGCAGGAGAATCGCTTGAACCCGGGAGGCGGAGGTTGCAGTGAGCCGAGATCACGCCATTGCACTCCAGCCTGGGCAATAAGAGCAAAACGCCGTCTCCAAAAAAAAAAAGCATAAAGGCAGTTGAACTAATGGCAGAAGACTGTCAAAGCATTTTTTTATTTTTTTTTTGAGACGGAGTCTCGCTCTGTCGCACAGGCTGGAGTGCAGTGGCGCGATCTCAGCTCACTGCAATCTCCGCCTCCCGGGTTCCCGCCATTCTCCTGGCTCAGCCTCTCGAGTAGCTGGGACTACAGGCGCCCACAACCGCGCCCGGCTAGTTCTTTGATTATTTAGTAGAGACGGGGTTTCACCGTGGTCTCGATCTCCTGACCTTGTGATCCGCCTGCCTCGGCCTCCCAAAGTGCTGGGATTACAGGCATGAGCCACCGCGCCCGGCCTAAGCATTTTTTTTTTAACCACTTTATGTCATGAAAAGCTTCGAAATTTCTTAGGCCCAGTCAATTGCTCTACATGAAGAATTCTTTATTAAAAAAATCACTAATTAGAAATACAGGCAAGAGAAAAGAATATATAAAATTTGGCAAGTAATAGCAGGTTAGATTTGCTTAAGGCAGGTGTCTTACCCATTTTCATGGTTGGAACACTCCTTGATTTCTGGACCTAAAATAACTTTTGAAATAATTTTCTAAAGAAAATTATTTGCATCTGGCCGGGCACGGTGGCTCATGCCTGTAATCCCAGCACTTTGGGAGGCCGAGGCAGGTGGATCATCTGAGGTCAGGAGTTCGAGACCAGCCTGACCAACATGGAGAAACTTCGTCTCTACTAAAAATACAAAATTAGCTGGGCATGGTGGCACATGCCTGTAATCCCAGCTACTAGCGGGGCTGAGGCAGGAGAATCGCTTGATCCTGGGAGGCGGAGGTTGCGGTGACCCGAGATCGCACCATTGCACTCCAGCCTGGGCAACAAGAGTGAAACTCCATCTCAAAAAAAAGAAAAGAGAAAATTATTTGCATCTGAATTAATGGCTGAAGCATTAATTAATGATTGCTGAAGAGAACCCTGAAAGTTAGTACTTGGCACATATAACAAAAAGTTGATTTGATTTATCCATTGCTTACTGAGGTATCCTTGAGAAGTGATCTTAAGAAGCAGGAACAGTGACAATGATAGAACTAATAGTGGTCATGAATTACTAGGAAACAAAGTGGCATTGAGCAGAAAAGAAAGAAGCTGTTGCCACAACTTTGGGATATATAAAAATGGATTATATCTTGTGTATTGTGGGATAAAAGAGGGGCTAAAGAAAGCTTTGCAGGAGGTCTCTCCCAGTGGCATTTAGGTAGTGCTATGTTTGAGGATCAACCAAAAACAGTGAGTTATTTCTGTCCTGTTTCCCCATCTAAGAGTTCTTCTTGCAATTATTGGAACATTTTCTTTAAAAAAAATAATTTTCCCTTTTCTTTTTTTACTTTTTCAATTTTTTAAAATAGAGACAGGGTTTCGCCATGTTGCCCAGGCTGGTCTTCAACTCCTGGGCTCAAGCAGTCTGCCCACCATGGCCTCCCAAAATGATGGAATTACAGGCATGAGCCACTGCGCCTGGCCGGAACATTTTCTTTACATACACTGGCGTTTCTCCCCTTCAAATCATCAGAAAAGGGGATAATTTTTAGAAATCAGGTTTAAGCACTAATTTCAGATAAGCATTTCATAGTTACAACAGTTACCTCAAAAATGTACTAAGAGCAAGTGAAAAATCTGGTTTCATTGTTACACTAGGCAGCTCCCTATAGAAACTTTGCTGGGGTTAATAGTCCTGAGGAAGATTTTAGTTACAGTGTAGTCCAGTCCCATAGATCTGATCTGAGCAAAGCTGACAAATGAAGCTGCTCAAAAATAAAGGGAAATTACTCAGGATGGACTGAGTCTTAAACAAACTTGTGTCTAACGGCCCATGGTAGGCATGGCAACAGCAGGTGAGGAAAGAGTAGCATCCTCTTCTTTCCACTGAGAAGTAATGGTCTTTAACTGAGTGTAGAATTGGATGCCCTAAGGAAAACAGAAAAAAAGTTAGCATATATTTCTGGGGTTTCATGATTCTTCTTTTAATTAGCTTTTGAAGGAGGTATTATAAAGTGCTACTCACTTTCCTAACTGAGAAATGCAATCAGAATCCAATATATATTGTTCATAAGATAATTGATCTAAAACATTTAACATAATACCTGGCAGATAGTAAACAATCAAACCTTAGCCATCATTATTATGCTGAAACTAGTATTTCTTTCTTTTTTGTTTGAGATGGAGTCTTGCTCTCTCACTTAGGCTGAAGTGAAGTGGCATGATCTCAGCTCACTGCAACCTCTGCCTCCCGGGTTCAAGCAACTCTCCTGCCTCAGCCTCTCAAGTAGCTGGGATTACAGGCACCTGCTACCATGCCTGGCTAATTTTTGTATTTTTAGTGGATATGGGGTTTCACCATGTTGGCCAGGCTGGTCTCGAATTCCTGGCCTCAAGTGATCCGCCTTCCTCGGCCTCTCAAAGTGCTGGAATTACAAGTGTGAGCCACCGTGCCCCCAGCCATTACATAGTAGGCTATTTATTTATTTATTTATTTAGAGAAGGAGTCTCTCTCTGTTGCCCAGGCTGGAGTGCAGTGGTGTGATCTTGGCTCACTGCAACCTCTGCCTCCCAGGTTCGTGTGATTCTCCTGCTTCAGCCTTCTGAGTAGCTGGGATTATAGGTGTGTGCCACCACACCCAGCTAGTTTTGTGTTTTTAGTAGAGACGGGGTTTCACCATGTTGGCCAGGCTGGTCATCTGACTTCAGGTGATCCTCCAGTCTTGGCCTCCCAAAGTGCTGGGATTACAGGCATGAGCCACTGTGCCTAGTCGGCCATTTCTGATAATTATCAGAGATCATGAGCTCTATATTGTAGTGGCAAACCCAAAGTATCTTACAAATCTAAAGTAAAATATCTGACATTATACAAATTCACTTCTAAAATTACCTATAACATGTAAGTCCAAAAATTCAGCATATTTAACTCTCTCTATACATAGATAGATATAGATTATTTTATTTTATTTTTTATTATTTTTTTTGAGATGGAGTCCCACTCTGTCGCCCAGGCTGGAGTGCAGTGATGTGATCTCAGCTCACTGCAAGCTCTGCTGAGTTCATGCCATTCTTCTGCCTCAGCCTCCCGAGTGGCTGGGACTACAGGTGCCTGCCACCACGCCTGGCTAATTTGTTGTATTTTAGTAGAGATGTTAGCCAGGATGGTCTCGATCTTCTGACCTTGTGATCCACCCGCCTCGGCCTCCCAAAGTGCTGGGATTACAGGCGTGAGCCACCGCACCTGGCTAGATATAGTTTATTTTATAAGAGTAGGCTTGAGCAAAAGAGAATAATACATTCTGCAGATTTAACACTTACATAATTACTAGCAAGCTAGAATGACATTTTACCAGATTACCAGAGTAATTTATAATAATTAAATTGGGGGGTGCAGCCAGGCGTGGTGGCTCACACTTGTAATATCAGCACTTTGGGAGGCTGAGGCAGGCAGATCACTTGAGGCCATGAGCTCGAGACCAGCCTGACCCAACGTGGCGAAACTCCGTCTCTATTTAAAAAAAAAAAAAAAATTAGCTGGGTGTGGTGGCCGGTGCCTGTAGTCCCAGCTACTTGGGAGCTTGAGGCAGAATTGCTTGAACCTGGGAGGTGGAGGTTGCAAGTGAGCTGAGATTGCACCACTGCACTCCAGCCTGGACAACAGAGCAAGACTCCCATCTCAAAAAAATAAATAAATGAGAGGGTGGGCAGGCAACAATTTTTAAACAATAGTTGTACTCTGCTTTGCTTAAAAGAAATGTTACTAGTATCAAATTAGTCATTTTTACAAAAGCTGTGACTAAGCCGGGTTCAGTGACTCACTCCTGTAATCCCAGCACTTTGGGAGGCCAAGGCAGGCAGATCACCTGAGGTAAGGAGGTCAAGACCAGCCTGGCCAACATGGCAAAACCCTGTCTCTACTACAAATACAAAAATTGGCGGGCGTGGTGGTGCGTGCCTGTAATCTCAGCTACTCAGGAGGCATAGACGGGAGAATTGCTTGAACCCTGGAGACTGAGGTTGCAGTGAGCCGAGATCATGCCACTGTACTCCAGCCTGGGCGACAGAGCAAGACTCTGTCTCACAAAGAAAGGAAAACAAAAAAAAAAAACCCAAACAAAAAACCAAAAGCTGTGACTAATATACAAATTAGATAATCAACCTCCAAATACCAAAGTGTTGACTTCTTAACCATTTGGCCACACTGTCATAATGCTATGCAATCCCATTGTTAACTTTTTAATAACCCAAACATAAATAAATAAAATAAAAAAGCCCCACATGCCCCACCCTCTGGCAGCACACAGCTGGCACAGAAAAAAAATTAACCTATAAAAGGGAAAACTTGTATAGCAAAACATGTAATTTATTAATGAAGGTTTCAAAATGGCTCTAGTCCTATGGGATTACAAAGAACTTCCCCTAGCCTATTTGTTCAACAAACGTTTAGGTAGCCTGCTCTGTGCCAGGTACTGCAGATAAGTAAATAACAACTATAGTGTGATGAGGGATTCTCTACGTGGCAAGCCCTATATGACTCAACCCCTGCCTGCCTCTCTAACCTCATTTTTTCCTTTTCTTCTCATTTGCTCACTGTGCCCCAGCCCATTTCTGCTGTTTGAATGTGCCACGCTTCTTCCTGCCTTAGGACATATGTACCTATTGGCTGATGTGGCAATAGTAACAATTCTTTTTTTTTTTTTTTTCTGAGATGGAGTCTTGCTCTTTTGCCCAGGCTGGAGTCCAGTGGTGCAATCTTGGCTCACTGAAACTTCCGCCTGCTGGGTTCAAAGCATTCTCCTGCCTCAGCCTCCAGAGTAGCTGGGATTACAGGCGCCCGCCACCATGTCCAGCTAATTGTTTTATTTTTAGTAGAGAGGGGGTTTTGCCATGTTGGCCAGGCTGGTCTTGAACTGCTGACCTCAGGAGATCTGCCTGCCTCAGCCTCCCGAGGTGCTGGAATTACAGGCGTGAGCCACCATGCCTGGCCAATAGTGATAATTCAATCCTTACAACATTATGAAATATATAGGTACTGTTGTTATTCTTTTTATACGTGAATAAATTTAAGGCATAAAGCAGGTATCCAGGTGCGGTGGCTCACACCTGCAATCCTAGCACTTTAGGAGGCTGAGGCAGGTGGATTACCTGAGGTCAGGAATTTGAGAGCAGCCTGGCCAAAATGGTGAAACATTATCTCCACTAAAAATACAAAAATTAGCCGGGTGTGGTGGTGGGCACCTGTAATCCCAGCTACTTGGAGGCTAAGGCAGGAGAATTGCCTGAACCTGGGAGATGGAGGTTGCAGTGAGCCGAGATCGTGCCACCACACTCCAGCCTGGGTGACAGAGTGAGACTCTGTCTCAAAAACAAAAAAAAAAATTAAAGGTATCCCCCAAAGTCAGACAGCTAATAACTGGCTTAGCTGGGATTTGAACACAGGCAATTTGGTTCCAGATCTGCTTTACTTTTCTTGTTCAGTGCTGTATTCATAGTGCCTAAAATAATGCCTGCTACAGGCCGGGCACAGTGGCTCACACCTGTAATCCCAGTGCTTTGGGAGGCTGAGGCGGGCGGATCACGAGGTCAGGAGTTTGAGACCAGCCTGGCCAACATGGTGAAACCCTGTCTCTACTGAAAAACAAAAAATTACCCGGGCATGGTGTCAGGCGCCTGTAATCCCAGCTATTCAGGAGCCTGAGGCAGGAGAATTGCTTGAACCCGGGAGGCGGAGGTTGCAGTGAGCTGAGACCATGCCACAGCACTTCAGCCTGGGCAACAGAGCAAGACTGCGTCTCAAAAAAAAAAAAATAATAATAATAATGTCTGCTACAAAGAAGGTGCTCAATAACATTTTTTGTAAATGAATAACTATTACAGAAAAACTATGTGCAATGGGGTCACACCACCCAGCACTGAGGGAGGGGTGGTGGCAGTTGGAGGAGGTTTTCTGGAGGAGCTCATTCTTTAAATTGAGACATGACAGATGATTAGGAGTTAGTCAGATGAAAGGGGAGAGATGGCGAAGAGGGTCACACGCTCAGGAAGTGGCATATACAAAGCCTTGGACTCCCCCATGTTCTTTCCTCAAAACTTTGTTGCTTTGAATTATTCAGGAAGAAGCAGCTTTGGCAAAATTTTGTTAACTTTTAAATCTTTTTTAGGGAACCTTCTGAGAAGCACTGATTATGACCCCACAGAAGCTGCTGGCAGGCCCTTCCTTGCAGAATCCTTGCTCCTGAATATCTTTAAGAAAATTTCTTAAGGGAAAAGACAAAAATTTTAACTCAAAAGTTACCTGTTTGCCATAGAAATTAGTGTCTCCCCTGAAGGAGGATCGAGAGCCGGTGAATGAGAACATTGGCAAAGGCACTGGAATGGGGACATTCACTCCCACCTAAAACAGAACAAATCCGTGTCATACCCTAAGGACAAAGGAACTCTCCATTTAGAAGCACAACGGCATCAGAGACCAGTTTTAAATACCCACCTTCCACCCTGTCCTTTACCCCATGAACTTTCATTCCTGAGGAAGAAATGGGGCAATGTGGGAGGTCATGGGGGCAATCTTAAACCAATGACTCACCATTATTTACTTTTTCCTCTTAGGAAATAGTAAATGGATATAAGAATCTCTTAAAAATTCTGTTCACAAACCTGTCCGACATCCACCAAGTGGGCGTATTTCCGAGCAGTGGCTCCATTGGTGGTGAAGATGGCAGTTCCATTTCCATATGGGTTGTTATTTACAATCTGGATGGCTTCATCCAATGTTTCTGTCTCCAGAACCACAAGAACTGGACCAAAAATCTCCTCTTTGTAACAGGTCATATTTGGCTGCCAGGAGTGATGCATCCAGAAAAGAAGTCAGCTTTTTGGATTCTGAGTATTTTACGCTTATTTGATACTTTTATTTACTACACATCATTTACATGGACAACTTTCATATTAGTAATCTCTTTTCATTTCAAATCACTTATTTTAAAAAAAGTCCTCTCTTAACTGTGTTCCATCTTCCAAGTTACCAATCATATAAACAACTTGGAATTCCTATCAACAATAACCACACTTCCTTTAAGGGACTGTATTTTTAGTTCATGACCCATCATTAGCTTCCTTTTTAATACCTGAACAACTTGTTTCATCCAATTGTTATCAAAAAGTTACATGAAAATTTATTTTTTATAAATCCAATCTATATTAAATATACCAGGATAATTTTTCTCTTTATACAAACCCAATGCTGTTTTCTATAACATAAACAATCCATTCTTATTCACTCCTTTGCCTCCCAAAAAAGTCTGTATGTTTATATTTTGATATCAGGTCATAGACACTCAAAACATCCTTCATCATGCAATTAATGTTTGTTGCTGGTAAACGGATTTTTCTGTATGGTTCTGTGGCAAGAGATTTCATAATTTCTACTGCACTTACATTCAACACTTGATGATTCACTATTATACTAGGGCTATCTGAATTTCAAAAAAACGCCTCATTACCTCAATTTTTAAGTCATGTTAGCTGAGAGACTTACAAAGTTTTGATAAATAAAAATTGACAAGTCAATTATTTCTGTCACTTTCAATAAATATCGGGTGCTTGATATATTGATTGAGACACTGCAGTAGCCATAAGCTAGGCAGCAAGAGGGACACAGGAGAGAAAACATTAACAAACCAGTATAAGATAAGATAGTGTTTGGCAAACTATAGCCTGTGGGCCAAATGTGGCTTCCTGCCTGTTTTTGTACAGCCCCCAAGTTAAAAATGGTTTCTGCATTTTTAAATGGTTGAAAAAAATATTTAATCATATATTAAATGATATGAAATTCAAGTATCAGTGTCCATAAATAAAGTTTTATTGGAACACAGCCACCCAATGTTTATGACTGATCTCACACTACAACATCAGAGTTTAGTTGCAACAGACACTATATCCCTGTAAAGCTGAAAATATCCCTTTATGGAAAGTTTGCAGACTGCTGGTATAGTGGAAAGAGTTTGGTTAGGAGTTAGAAGGGGAGGCCCATTCAGACTCCAGATAAAATAACTGATCAATCCTGGCAAGAGATGAAGTCTTAGTCATTAAGTATTTTGATTAATAAATTAGAGGGATGAGATTCGATAGCCTTTAAGGTACCTTCAGCTCTCATATTTGTGAAATAAAAGTTGTTCACCTTGACATTCGAGATGATGGTTGGTCCAACAAAGTTACCATTTTCATAGCCTTTCACTTTAATTTTTCGTCCATCAAGAAGGATGGAAGCTCCCTCCTTTGTTCCACTATCAATCAGATTACAGACTCGCTCTTTGGCCTGGGGAGTGATCAGAGGGCCAAGATCAGCTCCAGGCTGATCTCCTGTAAAACAACACAGAAGAATTTAAGGTCCTCATTAACATAAATTATGACTGCTGTCAGGGTTCATGCCTGTAATCCCAAAGCTTTAGGAGGCCGAGGCAGGAGGACTGTTTGAGCCCAGGAGTTCCAGACCAGCCTGGGCAACAAAGTGAGACTTCGTCTCTACAAAAAATAAAAAAATTAGCCAGGTGGTGGTGCACACCTGTGGTCCAAGCTGCTCAGGAGGCTGAGGCAGGAGGATCACTCGAGCCCAAGAATTTGAGGCTGCCATGAGCTAGGATGGCACCACTGCACTCCAGTTTGGGTGACAGAGAGCCTCTGCCTTTAAAAAAACAAAACAAAACAAAACACTGCTAATGAGATGAATCCAAGTGACAAGTACAATATAAAGAGAGGAAATGGCAAGAATAGACATGATTGTTCCCACTGGCCAAGGCCACTGACAGAACTCAAGAGCTTAGTGCCACAGATGCAAAATCTAAGGGAGCAAGGCAGGTGATTGATTACCTGCAGTGACTCTCAGGTTTTTGGCGCGCTCCACCAGCTCTGGCAGCCACTTCTTGGCTTCTCCCACAAGGACTGCTGTTGAAAGAGCCATGCAGCGCTGACCAGCAGCTCCAAATGCTGCCCCAACCAGCTGGTTCAGGGTATTTTCCTTATTGGCATCTGGCATGACTACCCCATGGTTCTTGGCTCCCTAAAAAAAAAAAAAATACAGAAAAGCACAGGAATCTTCCTTGGCCAAATACAATTAAGCTAAGAAATTAAGCAGTGGACCAGGTATGGTGGCTAATGCCTGTAATCCCAGCACTTTGGGAGGCTGAGGTGGGAAGGATCACTTGAGGTCAGGTGTTCAAGACTAGCTTAGGCAACATGGTGAAACATGATCTCTACAAAAATACAAAAAATTAGCCAGGAATGATGGCACAAGCCTGTGGTCCCAGTTGCTTGGGAAGCTGAGGTAGGGGGACCCCTTGATTCTGGGAGGCAGAGGTTGCAGTGAGCCAAGATCACACCATTGTACTCCAGAGTGGGTGACAGAGTGAGACCCCTGTCTAAAAAACAAAAACAAAAACAAAAACAAAAACACACAAAAACAACAAAAGGAAAGAATTTGTTGTCTGCTGGGTTTTTCAGTTATAAGAAGAGCAATGTTAAAAAAATAAAAAAAGAGAGAGAACTTACAGCCTGACAGCAATAATGCCAGTAACCAGCTGAAAGGCAAAACAGAAAGTAGACCTCTTGATATAGAATTTCAAGAAAGAGCCAGGCATAGTGGCTCATGCCTGTAATCCCAGCACTTTGGGAGGCCGAGGTGGGCAGATCACTTGAGGTCAGGAGTTCGAGACCAGCTTGGCCAACATGGTGAAACCCCATCTCTACCACAAATACAAAAATTAGCCGGGTGTGGTGGTAGGCACCTGTAATCCCAGCTACTTGGGAGGCTGAGGCACGAGAATTGTTTGAACCTGGGAGGTGGAGGTTGCAGTGAGCTGTGATGGCACCACCGCACGCTAGCCTGGGTGACAGAGTAAGACTCTGTCTCAAAAAAAAGTGATTAACGTGACTTAGAATGAAACTCCTCTAAAGGTTCATGATTAAAGAGAAGACATTCAGAAGGACATGGTAAGGTTTATGTCTGTAATCCCAGCACTTTGGGAGGCCGAGGCAGGCAGATCACAAGGTCAGGAGATCAAAACCATCCTGGCCAACATGGTGAAACCCCATCTCTACTGAAAAAAAATAGAAAAATTAGCCAGGCGCAGTGGCACGCGCCTGTAATCCCAGCTACTCAGGAGGCTGAGGCAGGAGAATCACTTGAACCTGGGAGGCAGAGGTTGCAGTGAGCCAAGATCATGCCACTGGCGACAGAGAGACTCTGTCTCAAAAAAATAAAAGAAACACTGACATTGGAGTGGGATGAGTGGCCTCTCTGCTGAAGGTCTGTTCCTAGGTAATTTTCATATATAGAATAAAGATTGGAGAAAAAAGGAATAAGAAGTCACCATATTGGCTTGAACCCTCTTGCCATGTCTTGATCCTCTCTCGAAGATATACTCTCCTGCCTGGTTGGATCCCACAAAGCTGATTGCTTTGATGTCCGGATGATCGCAAATAAAATTTACAGCTTTAAGAAGAAAATAAATGATCACTCACAAAGGAGCAAATGGATTCTCAACACGAAAAATTTCCCCTTTCCCCACTGTTATGAATTTGAAGTTTTCCTGTGTTTTTCTTTTCTTCTTCTTCTTTTTTTTTTTTTTTGAGACGGCGTCTTGCTCTGTTGTCCAGGCTGGAATGCAGTGGTGTGATCTTGGCTCACTGCAACTGACGCCTCCCAGGTTCAAGCAATTCTCTGTCTCAGCCTCCCAAGCAGCTGGGATTATAGGCACCCGCCACCACGCCTGGCTAATTTTTGTATTTTTAGTAGACACGGGGTTTTACCATCTTGGCCAGGCTGGTCTTGAACTCCTGACCTTGTGATCCACTCGCCTTGGCCTCCCAAAATGCTGGGATTACAGGTGTGAGCCACTGCGCCAGGCCTGTGTTTGTTTTTCTATACTGGATTCTCATTGTAAAGTTCTCTCCTTGTATCTTTTAAATTCTATTTAGCCGGCTGGACACGGTGGCTCATGCCTGTAATTCCAGCACTTTGGGAGGCTGAGGCAGGTGGATCACCTGAGGTCAAGAGTTCGAGACCATCCTAGCCAATATGGTGAATCCCTGTCTCTACTAAAAATACAAAAAAATTAGCCAGGCGTGGTGGTGGGCGCTTGTAATCCCAGCTACTTGGGAGTCTGAGGCAGGAGAATTGCTTGAACCTAGGAGGCAGAGGTTGCAGCGAGCCAAGATCATGCCATTGCACTCCAGCCTGGGCAACAAGAGCAGAAGTCCATCTCAAAAAAATAAAAAATAAAAAATAAATTCTATTTAGCCTCTTTCCTTTCATGATTTTTCTCATGTGTTACTCCAGAATTTCCACTTCTAATCTAACTTTTATTTTATTTTATTTTAATTTTTTGAGACAGGGTCTCACTGTTTCACCTAGGCTGGAGTGCAGTGGTGCAATCTTGGCTCACTGCAACCTCTGTCTGCCAGGCTTAAGCCGTCTTCCCACCTTATGGGACTACCTGCACATGCCACCATTCCTGGCTAAGTTTTGTATTTTTTTGTAGAGACAGGGGTTTTGCCACATAGCCCAAGCTGGTCTCGAACTCCTGGGCTCAAGTGATTCGCCTGCCTTCGCCTCCCAAAGTGCTGGGATCACAGGTGTGTGCCATTGCACCCAGCCTTAATCTAACTTTGAAGGCTGCAACTCCTATTTTCCTCGAAAATAACAGCCTTTGAATACTGAACTCTTCTTTTTTGTCCTTCAAGAATAACAATAGGCAGTGCACGGTGGCTCACACCTGTAATCCCAGCACTTTGGGAGGCTGAGGCGGGTGGATCACCTGAGGTCAGGAGTTTGAGACCAGCCTGGCCAACATGGTGAAACCCCATCTGTACTAAATAGTTTTACCAAAAGTAGTGGGGCACGGTGGCACATGCCTGTAATCCCAGCTATTCAGGAGGCTGAAGCAGGAGAATTGATTGAACCTGGGAGGTGGAGGGCAGAGTGAGCTGAGATCGCACCACTGCACTTCAGCCTGGGCAACAGAGGGAGACTCCATCTCAAAAAAAAAAGAATAACAATATTTCCTCAATGGTGACTATGTACTGGGACACTCAGACACTATTGTGTTCTCATGTGAGAGGTAATATAGCATAGTTTTTAAAAGCAAAAATCAGAGTCAGCCTTCCTGGATGGGTATACACATCCTGGCTTTGACGGTTTCTAGCACTGTGACTTTGGGCTAATTGATTTCACTATGTCTCATTTTTCTCTTCTGCAAAATGGAAAAAATAATACCTATCTCAAAGGGTGATTATAAAGATTAATAGATAAAAAGCACTAGGAACAGTGCCTGACACACAGACGCACTATTTAAGTATTAGCTGTTATTACAAGAATTGGAAGGCCTTCAGTATCTCTGAGATCTGCAAATTCTCTGAGTTAAATATCCTCATGTATTCTCTTCATATTGAAGAAAAAAGTTTCTTTTTTAATCTTATCTGTGTCTGGTCCTAATCCAGATTTCTAGTGTCCCAATATATACTGTAGGGCAAGAAGCACTGCTATTCCCTAGTTGGTTACCTTGGCGCACAAAGATGGCAAAATCATCAACAAACATGGAGGTTAAAATGAGTAAATACTTTCCTCTTTACAAGTAGGTTCCTTATCCTAAAACATCCAATCATCACTAAACACCTTGATTTTTTGGTAGCCAGATTAAGTAGCCATATGCAGAAGGGCCGTTACCTTCATGTTGTCCATGGATGATGTTTAATGTTCCATCAGGGGCACCAGAATCCTGGAGCAACTTAGCAAGAAGCATAGTTGCTCCAGGGACTCGCTCGGATGGTTTCATTAGGAAGGTATTTCCACACACCATGGCCATGGGAAACATCCAAAGGGGAATCATGGCGGGAAAATTGAATGGAGCAATGCCTGCACACACTCCCAGAGGCAGACGGTAGGAATAAAGGTCCATGTCTTTGGTGATGGATGGCATGGTCTCTCCCATCATGAGGGATGTCACACTACAGGCATGCTCAACCACCTCTGGAACACAGAAGTCAGGCCATCAGCTCTCCACACTGTGTACTAGTTAGCTTTGTCCTGTTCTCTTCAGCCCTGAGGACAGGAAGTGGCTCAGGCCAATGAAGGGGCGCAGGGTACACTGACTTGCCCTTCCAAGTTAAGGGTTTGTGCAAAATGAGAT